GTGCGTGTGTGTTGTGCATGCGTGTCCTTGTGTTTGTGTGTATCTCATAGTGCCTGAGTGTGTTAGTGTAAACATTAATGTGCATCAAAATGAGCATAAATGCAAAGGATGTATTTATGTGAATGTGACTGAGAGTGAGGAAGATGAGTGTGAAATGTGCTCATGTGCGTGAGTTTGCCTGCATCTACATGGACTACATGCAAGTCCACATGAAAGTGCTGCTGTGTTTGAATCATGCTGCCAAGCGGCCTATTCTGAGAACTTCCTCGCAGGAACAGTGAACAGATATTAATGCAAAAGAACCTCTTCATAGCTCAAGAAAAAAATATCTTTTAACCCTTTCTGTGCAAAGTCTTTCGACATATCAAGCAATACAGATGAATTATGTATTATATAAAAAATATATGTTTGCACTCTCAAAAAATAAATCTCATACTCAGTGAGTATATACATAGTTTTTGACACTGAAATACTTGACGACAAATTTCTCTCCAGTATTTCGTATCACAAAGGATTGAAAAACTAATATATATTGAGATGACAACTAGTGAGCATCAAACAATTATTGCACAAATCTGTTTAATTTCTTGGGGATAATAATTCAAGACAGAATCAAGTAACTGATCTACCTTTTGGCAACCAAAAACTGACTGATAATGAGCAACGTGGATACTAATATTTACATTCTAAAACAACATTAATGTTAACTGACACTAGGAACCCCTACTTGTAGCAGTTAGGGGTGAACAAAAGAAATAAAAGAAAAAGAAAAAGAAAAAAATATAAACATACATACATACATTATGTGAATATATATATGAATATATAAATATATTTATATATATACACATGTGTATGCACGCGCGTGCGCTGACACCCACACACACACACAAACACACCCACACACACACACACACCACACACACACAACACACACACACACACACACATATATCTATACTCCTATGTGTTCTGCACTGAAGGGGTTAAATAGCAGAAGATTCTTTTTCTTCCTACATTTCAAAACTGCACTGAGATTGGAACACCATAAATTGTTTTTGTTTAGATATCAATCTCCTATACAAGCTAAAAAAGCAAATCAGAGAAATATTTCTAATCATAATAATCATAATAGACATTCCATACTAATAAGCAATAATCATAAACTAATTAGATTACAACTATAAAGTATTGTCATGTAAATATATTACAAACGGTGTGAAAGTTTCCATTTTTTGGTAACAGAAAATTATACACACACATGCACAGACATATATATATATATATATATATATTATATATATCTATATTATATATAATATATTATTATAGTATATATATATATTAGAGAGAGAGGAAGAGAGAGAGAGAGAGAGAGAGAGAGAGAGGAGAGAGAGAGAGAGAAGAGAGAGAGAGAGAGAGAGAGAGAGAAGAGAGAGAGAAGAGAGAGAGAGAAGAGAGAGAGGGGGGGGGGGAAGGGGAGAGGAGGGAGAGAGGGAGGAGCGGAGGGTGGGGATGGGAGAGAGGGGAAGGGAGGGAGGCGAGGGGAGGGAGGGAGGAGAGGGAGGGAGGAGAGGGAGGAGGGGAGGGAGGAGGAGGGCGGGAGGAGGGGAGGAGGGAGAGAGAGCAGAGCGAAGAGAGAGGGAAGAGAGAGAGAGACGAGAAAGAAGAGAAGAGAGTGAAGAGAGGAGAGAGAGCAGGGAGAGGAGAGAGAGAGAAGAGAGAGAAAGGAGAAGAGAGAGAGAGAGAGAGGAGAGAGAGAGAGAGAGAGAGAGAGAGAGAGAGAGAGGAGAGAGAGGAGAGAGAGAGAGAGAGAGAGAGGAGAGAGGAAGAGGGGAGTGGCGAGAGAGGTGAGAGAGGGAAGAGAGGGAAGATACGAGGGAGAGAGGGAAAGAGGGAGAGAGGGAGAGGAGAGGGAGCGGGCAGAGGAGCTGGCGAGGGAGAGGAGAGGAAGAGAGAGAGAGAGAGAAGAGAGAGCAATGAGAAAGGAGAACGAGAAAGATGGAGAAAAGGTACTACTGCAGAGTACTGGCGAGTCTCTGGATAAACAAAGAAAGAAATAATGGTATTTACAGTACTGGAAGCGCAGTCCTCCGGGTAATTGGTGACAACGCAAAATCTTCTCTTCACGAGAGAGAGAGAGAGAGAGAGAGAGATTTGAAGATGACTGAGAGAGTAGGGAGTTCTGGATAAACAAAGAAGAAATATGTATTACAGTACTGAACCAGTCTCCGGGTATTGTGACACCAAAATCTTCTCTTCAACTTGAAAATACTAGAAGACAATAGAAGAAAAAAAAGAAAGAAAAAAAAAAAAAAAAAAAAAAAAAAAAGAAAGAAAAAAAAAAAAAAAAAAAAAAAAAAAAAAGAGAGAACTTGCAACTCCAGTTTTGGCGGAGAGTCGAGATGCGAGACATTTCCACCCTATAGCAGTTGCTTTCCCAGACAAGTTAGACATTCAAGCATACGGGATAAATGGCATAAAATGTGTATACACCCACTTCATCATTGTGATTCCTTATAAGGACCTGATTTGAGGCAGTTGTTACATACCTTTGGGGAAGCAATGAACATTAACTTGAGTCTGACCAACAATGACAGGCTATATATATGCTGCAATATATGGAAAGTGTAGAACATAGGGCGTAAGTGTATCATACAGGATGTAGGATATAAATGTGAGAAACGAAGAGTGAAAAATTTAGAATGACGGACAGAAAATGTCAGGTTTTGCATCCCTCTGTATATATAATGTATGATACTTACATGCACATGCTGAAATGCATTCACACTGAAACGAATTCACAAACAGGCAAAGACTATTGCACACAAACTGATGTTCACCTACATAACTAAATAGTTATAAAAGAAAATAAACTAAATGCTCAATGTTAATAAAAAAAGAAATCAGTCCTTGACTCCCTATATAATACAGCATCACTGCTTTGACCTTCTCTATTAACAATTCTTTCATTTCCAAAATAGTTCATTGTATTTCAACACAGAATTTCAAAACGTTTCATCTCTAAAAATATCATACAAATTAATTCACAAAAACAAACTGCTCATTGGTAATGATATTTGTAATGAACAGACTGCTATTTGAACTCGAGGCACACACACCGCTGAAGAGATCCAATAAAGTAATCATTAACATTTTTGCAATACTGTGCTTCCTTCTTTTGTGATATGTTTACTGTTCCTTTATATCTCTTTTTCTGTAATGGTTTCTGTAAGGTGCTTCAAAGCAGCTACACTGAAGCCCTTAACTTGAAAAATAGTGATGGCTCTGTGCACATGTGATATGATTGCCTCTTTTCACCCTTCTGGTGTCTATTGCACACATGACAACCTTATACAAAGAACTGGGTGCATTATGAGATCCTTTAGTCATCACATTCTGAAACACTGGTTTGTTTCCTTGGACATAAACTCACCTCTACAACCAGATATACAGTTAAACATATGAATTATAAATGCTACAACAGCTGGGGGTGAGGACACCTGTTTCTGAAGCATATCATTTAAAGTTCTCGAGATGATTTTACACTTAAAATACACGCTTAATCTCTGAAAGACACAAGTACCGTACTCAAAGTGTGTTTGTGTGTGTGGTCATGTGTGTATGCACGTGTGTATCTGTGCATTGAGGATATTTACAGCTACATGTATGCCTGTGTGAGTGCACAGGGTACTTCTACGTGCGTGTTCAAGTATGTGTGTATGTCTATGTGTGTTTGGGTGTGCACATACACACATGTGCAAGCGCTTGTGTGTGCATAGACACAGATACAACTTCCAAGCATCCACACAATCAAAGTCCTTTATAAATGTTTAACCTGACTGTTGTCAAGCTGCTGCCCACATAAAAGAAATGCAAATGTATCAGCACCATACTTATCTACATGACAAGGGACATGGAAGTGTTCTCTTCAGATATTTTCAGCTTAAAAAAAGGTAGCTTATCAGCACTTGTGATTACGGATATTATGCTCTTTCAATATTCTAAGGTGAAAAAAGAAAAGAAACCTTACTGATTATCGTTAATAAAAATAATGATCATTAATACTCTCAAAATATGAATAATAATTATGACACTGACAAAAGTAATAAAAATCATAATGATAATAGTAGTAGGAACATAATACTAATAATGTAGCATAGTCATCTTTTAAAGCAATCCCTTAACTGGCACCAAAAAAGTTTCACTATTTCCAATGTATGGTCAGCTGATGGCCCTTAACTTGCTTTCTGTTTTATTGCATGTCTCACGTGTTTATAAAGCAATTAGAGTTTGATAAAGTTTAAAATACTTTGGTAATTTTGTACTCTTTTGCAAAAGCCCATTTTTCTCTTCATCAAATACCTTGACAAATGTATATATGTGTACATATATATATAAATAAAATATAATGACTGTACCAAGTGGACAGGGATTGATAAAGTAAAATAATAACACTCACCAAATTCTCTCCAATTCGTAAATCATATGTTATCAGCAGTGTTCTCCTTAACATCACTGAACACATAATGACAATGTATCTCGACTACAGCTGAGCTAAAGTCAACCTTGAGAAAGAACACATACCTCCCACAATTAGATATGTCCTAGAGAATCGTCAGATTAAGTACTCCGAATCAGAGTTCTATCTACTGTCACAACTGGACAAGATTGAAAAGGAAAAAAAAGAGAAAGATAAATTGAAAAGAAGAGGGAGAGAGATAGAGAAAGAAAAGAAAGAAAGAGAGAGAGATGAGGAGAAGAGAGGGAGGAAGGTGGGGAGAGGAGGGGGAGGGACTGGAAGGTGGGAGGGGAGGGAGGGAGGGAGGGAGGGAGGGAGGGAGGGAGGGAGGGAGGGGGAGAGAGAGAGAGAGAGAGAGAGAGAGGAGAGAGAGAGAGAGAGAGAGAGAGAGAGAGGGAGAGAGAGAGGAGAGAGAGAGAGAGAGAGAGAGAGAGAGAGAGAGAGAGAGAGAGAGAGAGAGAGAAGATATATATGGCAAGCTATCACTGTGGATGGATTTGTCTCAGTTTCAAATTCATGAAGCTAATAGAATAATAATAAAAAGAATAATAAAATACAAATAGCTATTTCTTAAAATGCTTCTGTGTCTTGAATATACTGATCCTAGAACTTACATTGAGTACATTTCTCAAATGACGGATTCACAGGTACTTGGACTAGACATATGACCAACATTGTCAAATAAGGCATACTAATATGACACTACTTTGCAATAAGATCTCAAAGATCTATTAAGCCATTATAATATCAGTTTATATTACTATGAATCTTGTTTCTCTAACATAATATTGGTATGGATTGGAACATTTTGATCACTTTCAGTGATCTACCTATCTCACACCAGTTTTTAAACTCTATTACATCCCTAAATTAAACTAGCATCCAACTTTATTCATAATGCCCAGTGTTATTAGTTAATTGCATATCTCTGCTGAGTGCACAGATAACTAGTGAGACACTTATACCTAATATGCTAGTGTTCTATTCTTCAATACACTCCTCGGAAACACTTACACATGAAAGCATTCCTACTCTCTTATGAGGATCCCTTTCTGCTTGTTCTACACTAAAAAAACAACTGACAGAATTATGACAAGTCTTCACTCCATCCTTCCATGTCCCTTTCAATATAAAGAAAAAAGTAAACAATGATATCAATTCATAAAATAAAACAAAATTGTTAAACACATATATGAAAAAAAAAAAAAAAAAAAAACAAGCAAAACATCTTTTCTAAAACAGAACTGGCCATTATAATGAGGTTGTATTATCACAAAATGTTTCAGGTCTCGGTTTCTGAAACTTCTTCCTAAAATTTCCCGAAACCTTCACCAAATGTCTGTCCCTACATGAAAATGCACACATCACTTGAATCAGGAAGCTCTTGCATGAGCTGCAGATTGGGAAGCCTCGGCAGTGTTTGGTTGTGTGGCAAGGCTTTACGAGGATAAATTCCCCTTCTTTGCCCTCTCCAACTGCTGCTTCAACTGCCGCACTTCCTCCTCCAGCTCCCCACATCTCTGCCTTAGCTGCTGTGTTTCACTGGGCTCTGAGAAAAACAAAAAAACAAGATGAAGTGCTAACTAATGCCATGTTAAAGTTACCTCTAAAAACATGCTATCTAATATTAAGTCAAAGACACTACTATCAATAATACAACAGACTAAAGTTCTTTACAAAAATGATAAATTAAAGTGCTCCTTATCAAACATCTGTTAATCAATATCTAATGAAATTCATCATTGTCAAATTTTTGACTAATCCAAGTTCTCCAATGAGAGGAAAAGATATGTAATACTAACTTAACATCATTACTACCAAACACAACAAAGGCATGTCTTTATATGTTGCTACATTGATATTTTAAGTGAAGTACAAAAAATGTGAACTTTCATACTGTATCATGAATAAAATCCCTAAGTTAATATTCAGTTGAAATAAAATACAGAAGGGAATTCCTGTGTACCCTCTGGCTGTGGTAAAATGGTGAAGACCCCCTCTGTGTCCCTCTTTAGAAGAAGTCTTGGTATCCACACTTGGGTGGGCACAGACCCTGGAGATGTTATATTTGCAGGAACTCTATCCTCTGTCAGACACAGGCCAATCCGCTCAACCAGCACCTGTGGCAAAATGCAAATACTATAACAAAATCCTCCAGGATAAATTTTGTGTACATATTTTCCATATACTTCCTCAGAAAATGATATAGGTTTTTGAATTCATATTTAATTTGTAATATATCTTCATTGCAGAAAAAAATGCTTCCAGTCATTCATCAGAATATAACTACCTTCATAGGTAAAGGTTGCGGTATAATTTCATCTTCTATGAGGTCAATGAGGCCTGTGACAGTGCTCATCAAAAGTCCCAGACTGAGGTCAGTCACGTGACCCTCCAGAGAAGGTCGTACAACTACAGGCAACGTTGCACCTGAGATACCTCTTGTCTCTTCCTCTGTAGGATTAGCCACAACTTTGGCATCTAAACGCATCTTCAGGCAACATGGCTCTGCTGCGGCAAGGGAATCCGACCATCCACGGCAACGACTGCTGAACTTGGTCTGGAATCAAAGTTGCTAGTCATCTGCAGTTCACTTATTTATACTGGATATCACAGAAGAAAAATCAAAATATTTTCATGGCTGATAAAATATAAAGAAGAAATTACTGTCTGTTCTGGATATATAATCAAGTCAAATACAGTGAATATTTGTGGATGAAAAGATACATTTCTGAGGGAAAATGGCTAATGTTATTAAAAAAATATCTAGGAATGTACACATTCTCATAGGATACAGTGAGTCCTAAGATACTGATGTTCCTAAGATATCTGTGCTGTAACTGATAACTAACTCTGCTGCTCCCTATAGCGTATGTGAAAGGCATGTTGGTTGTGAAGCAAACAGTGCTAGTGGTATAAGTGTGACTGAAAGAGTGAGATAAGAGGTTGAAATACCAGAGGTGTTATTACTGATGGATGAAATAAGGAATAGATGCACATGAGCTTTGCTTTTGCTGTGACAAAAGAGTGGACCTTCCACGTCAAGAGTGAAGTTTAGGGGGTGACAGCTGGTACTGGAAATGGCAAAGGCAAAGTGAAGTAGGTTTCAAATTTGATTCATCCTAAATCTTGTGAGTTTGGTTGTGGGGATTGACTGAAGAAAAAAATTATTTGTCTCATTACCATTTCTCAAAAATTCAAGGTAACAGAAACAGTTGGTAATGAGATGCAATAATGATTAAGAAAGAGCTAGAGATAACCCTAGGGGAAGGTATCAGGCAAGATGCACTTGAAAAGTGGATGTTATCAAGACAAAAATGGTAGCTAAAACCTACAAAGGAAAAAAAAATCTATCTATATATACACATACTTCCTTTATGCAAACTTATATATGTATATCTTCTACAATACTTTATGCAGACAAGAAAGATGAACACCTTCCATAAACACACACACATACATACATACATATATGTAGGTGCATACAGATGCACCCACAAACTCACACACACACATGCATATGCACCCATAACATCTCACCCACACCCACAAATATATATATGCTCAAATACATGCATCCATAGACAGACATGCATGCATGCACTCACTCACTCACTCACTCTCTCTCACTCTCTCACACACACAAACAATATATATATCCCCTGAGTGATGGTGATGGCTATAGCCATCAAGATGTAATAGGCATAGCCAAAAAGTCTAGACTTGCATGATATTATATCACAAATAAATCTGCCCCTGTCACCAAAGGGTTCAATATATAAATGTATGTGTATATACATATATATATATCCATTATATATATATATATATATAATATATATTTATATATATATATATATATATATATATACACTATATATATATATATATATAATATATATATATATCTATATATATATATTATATATATATACAATACATACATACATATATATATATAGTATATTATATATATATATTATATAATATATTATATATATATAACATTCAACACATCACACATACAACACACAGACACACACCCAGGCACACAACAAGAACATAATACATACACGCCAACAACAACACACACACCACACACACCACACGCACACACCACACACACACACACACACACACACAGCACACACACACACACACACACATGTATAAATATATATATAATATATATATATATATATATATATATATATATATATATATATATAT